CCATGGTCAGTCACATCACAGTCACCCTCATCAGTCAACAGAAGTTAATGATGAGTCCATATAGTCAGCCCTTTGGGGTCAGCATACTGCCCTCACTGGCTCCCTATTGTCTTAGAGGACAAAAGATGTCTTCTTAGAATGATATGCATGGCTTCCTTAGCCACTGGCCTTATGACCTTGGTCAGCAGACCCTCCTAGCACCTCTGCAGGTACCAGGTCCTGGTGTTTGTATATGCCCACTAGCTACTGGGGGGGGCCTGTCCCTCCAATTGGCCTCTTCATTGTCTTTCAGCCCTCCACACAGTAGAGTCTCAAATGAGTGTGTTCATGTCCGGTGAAATGGATGGAGAGTGTAGGATTGCCCAGAAAGGAGGTAGAAGTCTGTACGTTCCTTCTCTTCTGCATTCAGAGAACCCCAAATCAAACCAAACAGCCAAACAAGCAGATCCCTCTTCCAGTGAAGCAGCTCAGAGACCCAGCTCACGGGAGCTGGGAGTCCAGAACCCTCGGTGGCTGAGGGAGCCTGGAAGCAAGGCATCCGAGCTGTAGTTTAGGGTAGATTTGGAGATCATGGAGGAGGCCAGGGCCAGGCTCCAGTCTGCCCCCCTTCAGTCCGGGAGGTGGGTGGTGTAGCCGAGCAGGATCACCCAGTCGGCGGCACTTAGATGGACAGGTCCTGTTTTCAACTCTGCATTCTTTCCGACCGTTCTAAGAGCACAGCTCATCAGGGAGCTGGAAGCGCGATGCCACGGAGATGTTTTCTTGTTAAACTTTCACCTTCATCTGAAACTCTCCACTTTGTTAAAGATCGCTCTAAAAATATCTGGGACAACATCCTCTCTCAGCTTGAAGTCTGCGCCTTCCACCCAGTAAATATTTCTGGTGCATCTGGCTACCTGAGAGTTGTATGGGAGACGCTGCAGGTGCCTGGGAGAAGGAAGATGAGGACACTCCAGAAGCAGAGACAGGGAATGACAACAAGTGGAGGAAATGGGCCCCTGGGGAGCTGGGCAGCAGGGGTCCTAGCTCAGGCTGGGGCTTCTGGAAGCTTCAAAAAGGGAGGTTTCATTGGTGTGACAGGACCACATACAGAATTCACAGTTATGTGCATGGGCGTAGGTATGTGTGCATGGCTGTGTACATACATGCACACACACACACATGCATATGTGCAGAAGCATGAGGAGGTGTGTGTGTGTGTGTGTGTGTGTGTGTGTGTGTGTGTGTTCATGGTGAACAGAGCACAGACAGCTGCAGAAGGAACAGCCTGTCATACATGCAGGAGGCTTGTTTGTTTTCTGAGACAAGATCTCACACAGCCCACTCTGGTCTCCTATTTATTATATGGCCGGGGATGACCTTGAACTTCTGATCCTCCTGTCTCCTCCTCCTCCCAAGTGCTGGTATAACATGTGTGTGTGGTGCTGGGACTGGAAGGCCTCACACATGCTGGGCAAGCACCCAACCGTCTGGGCCACAACCTAACAGGACTGTAAGTCCAATGGCAGCAGCCTTCAGAACTCATGGTCTCCAACCCATGGGCCCCTAGGGAAATCAGGTTCCCACCAGCCTGCTGTTTGTCTTCAATCTGGCTTGTTGACCACTCATGCCCTGGGGTATATTTAGCCCTTTGCTTTCCCTTGCAGAATAGAAACAGAAGCTAATTTTATGCTTAGACGATTCGGGCCACATAGCCTTCAGCATGTCCTTAACAAGCAGCGACCTGGGGTGGGGCCAGAGAGCGGCGTTTGGCTCTGACCGGCTGCTCTCTAGACCCCAGAGCCGAACCTGCCCATCACTGTTCACATCTGAGGCAGCCTAGTGACACAGGGATGATGCTTTGCATAGGCTTTTAAAATGAATTGTTAGCAGAGGGAAGGGGGTTCCTGGGGTTACTGGGGAGACTCTGGGGAGACCCATGTACAGCTGTCACGCTAAAGCTTCAGTTGTGGATCCATCTGTGAAAACTAGAGAAAGAACATTCTAAGGAAGTCATGGGCATTTTGATTTTGTGAGGTAGCCAAGATGACACGTCTGTTTTGGGGTTGGGAGCTTGAGATGGGCTCCCACCTATATAAAAAGGGGTACCACATGAAGACAATGGGGGCTTGGGAGATGGCTCAGTCAGTAAAGTGTTTGCAGTACAAGCATCATGGCCTGAGTTCAAATCCCCAGAACTTGCTTGCCTGTAGCTCTAGGACCTGGAGGGTGGAGACAGCAGGATCACTGGGACTTGTTGACTGCAAGCCTAGCTCAGGTTCAGTGTCAAGGAGACACTTTGCCAAAAGAATAAGGTGGACAGTGATAGAGTGGGACACCTGCTGTCCTCTGGCCTTCACACCACATACAGAGAGATGTACAACTGCACGTGTGTGCACATACAATGCGAGTGCGCGCATACACACACACACACACACACACACACACACAC